GTAGGTAGGTAGGTAGGTAAGTGTGTGTGCATGCATGCAAGTGTGTGAGTGAGTAGTGAATGAGTGAGTCAGTGAGGGAGTGAGTCAGTGAAAGATTGAGTAAATAAGCAAGCACATAAGTAAGGAATATCCCTGAATCGCCCCTCCAATACAATAATGCTAAGCAAACCCGATTCCACTACCTGTTAAGTTTAAGACTGACCCCAGGAGTTTGCCAAAGCGTTTCAGATTTGCACATCCGCGGGATCTCGAAGATGCGCAAGTAAAGTTCCACTTCCACAAAGAGAAAGGGCAATACACGTCTGCTTGGCACATTGAAGTGTTGCAGCTCCCTGGCCGTTCGGAGCGCGTTGCCTTGGGTGGCAAGTTGCTACACGACTACGATGTACGAGTGCATGGCCACATCGCCGAGTACCAGGACATGGACTCTTTCGGCTTTCTATCAGTGGAGATTGACTTCTCCGGCCTATCTCATGGTTCATCAGACTACCAGGCCCTGAGCAAGCTCTGTACCAGACTCTTCTTCCACAGCTCAGAGCTTCCGTACCAGCTGTGCTCTTGTCGCAGATCTTCGGACCTCTGCGGTACAAAGGTTGAGTTCAAAGTCGTGGTCGACAGCGAAAGCCAGCAGAAAGCTGTGAGGCTCTGCTTGCTGGAAGGCGTCGTTCCCAAGAGAAGGAAGTCCGACAATCACATCAGGTGCAGCCGGGCGCAGGAAAGGCGCGATCATCGTTTCATCTTCGAGGCTGACCTCGCAGATCCCTTCTTGGCTGAACAAGAAGAGCTTTTGGCAGCAGGTTTCCAGAGCTCGTGACACTCGTGACGTTCAATGCGAGTCTCTAGTTCAGCAGTGTCAGCGTGGGACACTTGAAGGTACAATGCCTTTGCAGCAGTCCGACCGCGAATGCATATCATATGAAGGGAGGAATCCTCACTCCCTGGTTCGAGTATGTTCGAGTATCATAAACATCTGCCGACAACAGCATGCATGCATCCAAAAAGCTATGACGTTCAGCAGCATGATCGTTCCTGTCACCGCCCGCATCAACATGATTACCAGCATCATCAC